AAATTCCAGCCCTTTTTTTTTTTAACTCCAGCTTAAACTTTTCTGAAAAAACCAGTCCATCAGAACATCTTATTTGAGTGGTATAGACAGCTTTTGCAGTCAATTGCTTTGTTACTAGGTGTAAATGGACAGTTTTGTTCAATTTTCTCTATTGGAAACCACAGTCAGTAACTACTCCCAGAAAAAAAAAAGTTAAAACACTAATTCCTATTAAATTTCTTTTCAAAACTCAGTTTAACCTACAGAGATTTCAGGACGGTTTCACTGGATGCATTCAGCTAGTAGCTTAAGTATCACATCATAAAACTTTTATGTTTTAGGAGGTAGAAGAGTTGGTTTAGACTACCCGAAATAAGACTTGTTAAATATTCAGTTCAATAGCTAAGTTTAGATTTCTGTTCCCTTTCCAAGGTCCAGTTAAAAGCATCTGGAAATCTTCCTGGCAGCTGCAAAAAGAACCCAGTTTGCTACCATGCCAGCATTTCAGGGGTGAAATACAAGCTTTCTCACAGATAAGCTATCTGCATACCTGTGGCTTCTTCAAAGTCACACAAGAACATCAATATTTCCAACAATGGTCCCCAAACAAGTCTAAAGCAGTAATTCTTGCAGGCACAGGCTATCCTGGTACTTGCACCTCCCAGCGTGCCTTACATGCTCTTTACTGACCCTTCAGACACCAGTTTGGTTGCTGTGACAGTTTGAGCAGCGCACCACAGGAGCCAGTTACTTTGGGAAGAAAAAGACAAATCTAACCATGCTGTGGATGGCTAACAAGTGATGCCATGCAGGACATGGTAAAGCCAGGTGCTACAGGGATGTGAAATATGCATGCATAAGGATTGTTCAAATTAAATATGACAGACACATCTAAGAAAGCTACATATTTGAATTTGCTTTCTTCTCAGTTGTTGGAGATCTTCAGATGTGGCTGCCTGGTTTCAAAATGGGTTTAAGCACCTACAGGTGACAACCACCAAAGAAGCATGTGCTCCTCTTCCCAAGCCCAGAAGTGATTGTAGAGATCAAAATCTTAGTTAGGAACTCCTACAACATTAGAATACTGAACGAAAAACTGAAAACACGCATGTTGCTTTCTATATAGACCAAGGTAGTTCTGCATCCTTTCCACTACGTGCAGCATAAATCAGCATAACCAGGGTTGTAAGAGTTAAACAATAGCAGGTATGCCCCTTCTGAGAGATGACACAATATGATAGCATTGTTGTTTTGGGTAGCTTAGGTTTGTCACTCTGGAGGAAAAAAAAAAACCCCACCTCCGTATTTATGTCATCTGTAACTACTAATTTAGTCTAGAGTGAAACTTTGCTGACTCATGTTGTGAGAAATGTCAGGATAGACATCCCCCATGTCTACCAGGAGTAACTGGGATTACAAAATGCTTAACTGCAGGGTTTGAGCTGGGAAAAAACCAAAACAATATACAACGCATAAAGAGCCAAGAGGCCACTGATGTGACACTGCTGCTGTCTGCACAGCTAAGAACAGAGGCTGGCCCCCTGCACCAGCCAGGGGTTGCTGCTCTCTGTCCCATCAAGATTGTCTTTAGCCTTCAAGGAATAGAATCATAGAATCATTAAGGTTGAGAAAGACCTCTAAGATCATGAAGTCCAATCACCAACACACCACCACGGGCACTAAACCATTTCTGGAGGCATTCAAGGTCAGGCTGGATGGTCTAGTTAAAGGTGTCCCTGCTCACTGCAGGGGGGTTAGACTAGATGACCTTTAAAGATTCCTTCCAGCACAACACATTCTATGATTCCATGTCCTGAAATGTCACATCTACATTTTTTTTTTAACACCTCCAGTGATGGTGACTCCACCACTTCCCTGGGCAGTCTGTTCCAATGTTTTACCACTCTTTCAGTAAAGAAATTTTTCTTAATATTCAAGACAAAGGTTTCCAAGCAGTTTGTAAATCACTGTGCAAAAGCATGATCTATCACACCAAGCCACCTCTCAGCTTACCTGTGTAAAACGTCGTGTTGTTGGATTCCAGTTCAAAGATGCTTTTGGTCTGTGAATCAAACCGAAGCCATAGTCCAATTGCAAGAACTGCTGTCCCAGCAAGCTGTAGGAAGAAGGAAGCCTTGTTAAATAATACTAATTAATACACTCATCCTTGCATCTGTAACATCAGAAGCAAACACAGGATACAGCTCTGTTATTTAAAGAGTTGGTGACAAAGGACCAGCATAAAAGGATGGGGATACCAAAACAAGAACAAACTTGATTCATGACATGAGGCATCTCAATGACAGATGTGTTTACATATTAAACTACAATGCCACATGAGAACAATGCCATTCTTGTTCTTTACTGAAAATACTCAAGGTTTACTGAAGTGCCAAGTGTCAGTATACCCACTGATCCCTCCACCCACTGTTTAATTCTGTGGGACTGTAATGACATTGCATGGCTTAGTGATCTTAAATCTTCACACTCAAGGACAAGTATATCACAAAAAAAACCCCCATTGTAAGGTCAGCTAAAAGTCTTAGCATATTAGACTGATAAGAATTCAGTGCACCACAGTGTAGAGTTTAGGAAGAGTGCTCTTTCTCACAAAAGAGGTTAAACCAAATCCAGTGTTACCATACTGACAGGAAAAGGAAAAAAAAAAAAAGAAAACCCAGAACAAAAATCCAAACAAAAACAAAAAGCCAAACCATAAAAACCTCATGCTGCTGAAATAGCAACATTACATTGTTCCACATCAGCACACAGCAATCAGATTTTAGATAATATTTGGTTTTATTTTATCATCATCTCTGCCTGTGTGCCTCCAGGCTCCTCTCAACATTGGTGTCTGTGCTTGCAGCAAGTCGCGTATATAAATTAGCTTCTGGATGAAACATCTGGCAGAAGGCATCAGAGAAGTCTTGCAAGAAAGAGGGAATTGCACCCTGGTAAGGCAAATGCTAACAGTTTGCTTTGAACAGACAGAATCCTCCTTGCTTTAAAAAGAAAAAAACAAACCTGGGGTCATCTTGCATGTTACATGAAAAAGAAACTAGGACAAACTATAAAGCTGAAGAGTGTGCTTCTCAGCTCTTCCTTCTCCCCTTTGAAGACCATTTAACTATCAAGAAAGCTCTACAGAAGTGAGATGAGGACAGGAATACCACACATTGCAGCAGACATTAAAATTTTTAACTTAAGAGTGAGCAATAAGCTTAGAAAGTCTGAGCTTTAATTAGGCAAAGCATACACAAAAAGGAAAGGAAAAAAAAGCCTTATCTCTGATAAGCAGTTCCTTCTAGAAGGGAACAACATTCTTGATTTGCCTCCAAGAAACTGGAAAGTGTTTGCTAATATCAATTTTCACTGAAAATATGGAAGGCATTCCCCACAGAAAGCACCTGCAGGTACATTCCTTCCACATCAAACCTAACTCCCCCAGTCCCACACTCTCCCCATGGGGACCTCAAGAGCCCTTTCTCCCTGCTATGGGAACGCATCCAAAGGCAGACACGGCTCTGCTGCCCATGGCTGTCTTCTCTATCCTTCTAGGCTCACTCTTAAAAAAAATAAAAAATAAAAAATAGGGAGAGCTTTGAAGATTCACATAGGACAAAGAGGATGGAGCTAAGCAAGGGTTTAAGAGGAGGCACGTCTCTTGTAGCTTCTTAGAGAACATCCCAGTTGAAGTGCTAAAGGGCTCAGTTATCAGTGAACAAAAAAAAGGAAGAGGCCAGCCCTGCCAGATAAACCAGCATTTCTTGTATGTGGGCACCTGACTTCCAAGCCTCTCTCAAAGAAGAGCTGTGGGGTTTTAGGTGGGAAAAAGATGAAGTGATACACAATGTAGAAAGAACCAAACCCAAGCAGAGGTTTCCAAACTTATGGAAAGGGCACTTTGTTGGTGTCAGGGGTGCGTAGGCACAGGCTTACTCACAAAGCAGGCAGCAAGACCAAAGCCTGCACATAACTGATGCTTTCCTTGCCAGGGCTACACCAACAAAATAGAATCATAGAAATAATTTTAAGTTATGCTGAAGAAGCTTGGTAGTACACAGTATGTCGCAACAGCCTTTTTATTTCAATTTATTGTGCCACAACAGCACCCCTGGGGAAGGGTGAGGTGCAAGAGGGCAGAGATGGGTTGCTGCTCTACCTGCACTCACTGCCACAGCATTGCTCACAAAAAGCCTTTTCAATCACATCTGTCTGCAGTTCAAAAGCCAGGAGGGCTTAGTGATGGAAAAAACCTCACGCACTGACAGTTAAGTCACCCAGTATTTAATAATACTCTGCCTGAGATCCCATTTCCTGAGTCATCAGTCTTCAGCTTTTATAAAGCATCCAGATCTGCAGCATTAGGAGAAGAAACCTACAGCCTCTGCTTGTTTTGCTGGCAACTCAGGGGTTGCAAAGTTACACGCCTGAGCACACCCAGCTGTCTACACCCATGCCCGCTGTGGTTTGAGCAGAGAGCACCCAACTGGAGAGCTCAGGGGGCAGCGCTACAAATGCAGCGGGGCACAGCCAAATGATGGTAAAGATAAACCCCAGAGCTCATCCCCCAGCAGACCTTTAAGGCCAAACCATTCAAATTGTGGAGAAACTCTAAGCCATACTACTATTGTGTAGATAATCTTCCAAGTTCAAGCAAAGTAGAAGTCTCATTTAGCAATCTCCAAGTAAAACTGGCTGGTTAACATTAGGGAGAGCTGAGGTATTCGATACTGCTTCGCTCAAAACCAACTTGACTCTGGTTTGTAAGGGGAGGGCAAAGTGTCCTGTCGTCTCCTTGGGAAAGCAGTCATCTGTGAAAACAGTTACTGTAATTGGGAGACAAGAGACTTATTATGGGATCACAGAATAGTGGTAATACTTGATGTAAGCATGTCCGTATCACTAAAAAATGGTACTATTAAACAAAATTCTCTCCATGGTGGACTAAGAAAAAAAAAAAGCAGCTCCTTCACGCAAGAAAAAGTGACTTTGTTTCAGTTTCTTAAGGAAAGCAGACTTCTGTTCTCAGTTTGTGCCCTTCCTACCCACATTGACCACTGAACTAAAAAAAGGCAGTTTTAAAGCAGATGGCATGGAAGTAATTTGAAGTGTCAAGTTTCCATCAAAATACAAGAAATAAGGGCACCAACACCAGCCTCCAAGGTGGAGGCAAGCATAGCCCTGCAGGCACCAGCCACACTTGGCAGGATCTCAGAGCAATCTGGCACACCAGAAGCGGGTACACAGCCACCCTGCTCCTCCCTGGTGCCACGCCAGTAGGTTTTGGCAGCTGTGATTTTCCTCCCGCGGAAAGGGGTGCAAGTGCAAGCTGCATGGAAGAATATCCCCTGAAGATCTGCTTGCTGGGTTTTTAATCCAAGTGTTTCCCCAATGTAACAGATCTGTTCTGTCAGAAGACTTGAGCAACATATGAATATTTCTATGCAGATCTAGTCTGTGCTGAAAAAAAAGCAGGTTAACAGGAAAAGAGCAAACCCATGTGTTCTCCTGCAACTAGTCACTTTGTGTGTGCAAGAACTTAAAAGAAAAAAAGCAAAGCAGGTTTGTGTTGTTCAGCATGTTTCTATAGTAACAAGTACAGGAAAGGGAACTCAGAAGACAGGGGGTTTTTTGATGGTTTTTTTAACCAATCTGACCAAAATGTAAAGTAAAGGAGTACATTGTATTGGGAAAGTTTGTGTCATCAATTCTCCAGTAACAGCGTCACCTGGCACAACTATGCTATGGACATCCCTGCTCAAGCTAATGAGGCTTCCTTGTGTTTCCTCTAACCATTACTAAGGATCTTTGAGCTTCTAGTTAATTTCTGTTTACTTATCTTTATTCTACAGCTGCAATGAGCAGGGATAAAAATATCTGGTCACTCCTCCTCTCATGGAGGCTCCTTGGGCTTTGTGTTTCCCCATCCCCTCAATCACACACAAACATACTCCCATTGCCTCAGTGGGTCTACTCCTTCATGCGTCTTTCTGCCTCTAGTAACAGGAAAAAAAGATTTCTCTTTCGGTCTGTCGTCCTTTATTGCACAGCCCTGCACCTTCTCTAGTGAGCCTCCCATGCATAACTTCCCTCCTCCCACCCATCCAGCCCCACACTCGGATGAGTGCCTTTTCCGCAGTAAGTCCTTTCCATTGCTCTGGTCTCCTTGCAAACTAAATAGCTTTGCCTCTGAGCATGTTTAAGGGTGTGTCCTAGCATTTATCTTTGACACCTCGCTTTCTTCCAGCCTTCCATGTGACAAGGGATAAATGACAAGGAATCTGTACTACTGCAGAAGACAGTCACAATAGACTTGAGAGACGACCCATCTATCCTCAAAGCAGAAGCCATACAGAACACTCTGCCTTCTTGCTATCAAGCAATTTCCACTGCATCTTTTTGGTTTTCTTTTAATACTTGAGATTTCACAGATATGATCTTGTAGCAGAAGGCCTTAATAATACTGATCTAAACCCATAGTCAAAGCTTTAGCTTCTCAAACTAAAAAAAAAAATAAAAAAAAAATCCCAATTTTTGTTAACATATCCTATGATACAGCAATGCATGACACTCCTTTGAGGAGCTGGAAAGTTTATTTTGGGTTTAACCACTATTTTGCAGGGACCACTATGTTCAGTCCCTTCTGACCTCGTCACCTTGACCCATCTTGAGAAAGGACAATCCCCAGCCAAGCACCTCCCTTGCTGCAAACACCTTACATCATCTTACCTTTCTACAGACAAAACTGTCTCCCAAGGGGCTCAAGGTCCAAGCAGTTATCAAGTCCTGAGAGCCAGCAGATAAAGCTTCAGGAAGGAGGACTCCCTCCACCTTCTAACCAGGTTACTACCAGCGCTCCCTCCACTTCCACAGAGTGGAGGCAGAGATAGGGAAGAAAGGAGATACTGCAAGAACTCCCGATACACAGATCAAAGCCTGTAAAAGCGCCTCTTTACAGGAAACTGTGGGTTCTGCTATCTTCACACTTTCAGGCCAACCTTACATGCAACTTCTATGAGGCTCATGGCATTAACTCTTGCAGAAGGTAAGTCAATATGTGGAAATACGGTAGTCAGCCAAAAATAAATACTACTTCTGGTGTTGTTAGCTCAG